ACTCGTACGCACAACTTAAGAACAAATCTGTGTGTACCAACGGTTCTTACATGAGGTCCAGTGACTGCAGTCATCACTCCACCACCACCGTGCTTCATATGGGCTGGTTTTGTTGAACAGCTGTTTGGTTTTCTCCAAACACAGCTGTTCATTATGGATAACAATCTCTACTTTGGTCACATAAGATCGTAGAACATTGTTCCAGAAGTCTTCTGGTTCATTTTGATTTAACTTTGCAAACCTAAAATATGGCTGCCATGTTGTTTTAAGAGATGAGAGGTTTCTTTCTGCTACATGCATGGTGAGTCTTTTTCCACTTGTTCTGTCATAAACTTTAACAGTTAACCTCCTAACAGGCCTGTAAAGTCTCAGATGAAGCTTTACAGTTTTTAGTCATTTCTCCAAGGATTGCACGGTCTGACCTCCTAGTGAATTTGTTAGTTTGTTGACTCGTTGAATGATTGGCAGCTGTCCTATAATCTTTCCACATTTATCCAAATGAATTATCGTTCTCTGTGTTGAATGATAGACTCCAGAGAAACTTGAACCCTTCCTAAATTAATAGACAGCACTGGTTGCTTTTCTGAGCTCATTGCTGGTGTTTTCCAGTTTGTGTTAACACATCTGAAGGTTTCAGAGCAGCAGGCTGAGAAAACTGCTGCTTTTAAATGAATTTAAAACATTTGATCAGCAGCCTCATGCTGATAATATAAATTTCTAACTGCAAGGATGGATTTTGTTTTTCCATTCCCAGCTCTTTAACTGTGGTTCAGTGTTTGTTCAATGAATAATGACATGGTGGACTCTGTTGTGTGTTTGTAGTTAGATTTAAATACTGTTAAAAAGTAGTGTGAAAACCACCTAATTTTAAATTCCTGATAAATAAAGTCTTTAAAGAGTCTATGAAGAGTTTAAACAGGTAAAGTTTATGACTGTTTAACATCAAAATACAGCTGAATCACGTCTAATGTTTGTGCTGTAATGACTCCTTCTGGCTGTAGAGGGCAGACTTGTACAACAACTAGAGCTTAAAGACATGCTCTAATCTATAATCTGAGGGGTGTTTTACAGAGAAATGTAACGTCCCCAGCCTGCTCTGCTGCCTGTTTGGGACCTGGATTGACCTCAGCTAATACACAAACTGTTTACAAACAGTTAAGGTATTTAAGCAAATTATCTAAAGCCAGCAGGGGCACCTTAGAGAAAATAACTGATTTTCTGTGCTGAGTAAAGGAAAACAAGGGCAGAGGTGGGTTTCCATGAGAGAAACAACCATCACTTTAGTGTTTGTTCACTTGTTCATTCTTTGCAGTAATCCCTGTTTTTCACTGCCCACATCAGGCCTCCATACTGGACCTGCACTCTGGAGCACTGTCCATGGGAAAACAATTTGTCAACATTTACAGGTGGGACAGCACACGATGCTTTATTTATTCACCTCAGTGTTTGCATTAGGTTGATCCACCTCACAGCACCGTTAGAAACATATTCACTGACATGCAGAGTTACTCATCATCATATTCAGTGTTTGAGTCGTCCTCTCACAGTCCTCTGACCCATGAGACTCATTCATCATCCCTGGCAGAGCCCAACCCCCCACCCCCACCCCACAGGGCAGGTGGCTGATGGGACGTCCTCTGAGACTATCTGACTGGTTTTAACAGGAAGCTGTGACCATGCTGTTCACACCAGTCTGACTCTGTCCTTCCTGTCCTGACAGGAAGTCAAGGATGGAGAGAAGCAGTCAGTTGTTTAGGGTCAGAGCTGTCTGAGGAACTGACTGTAACAGGCTGAAAGACATGACTTTATACTGACTGAAGTCCTTTCTTCACCTCCTCTCCTCTCTCCATCCTCCTCTCCTCTCTCCATCCTCCTCTCCTCTCTCCATCCTCCTCTCCTCT